AATTAACTCTAAGATTACCCAAAAAAAGGATTGAATTTGGTGCATGTGCGTGCAGTGCATGTTTATCCACTTTATTGTAAGCTGGTGAGCAACTGGAAAAACCACTGGAGCACAAATATCACTATGGAGACTTTCTGATCTCTCTCTATCCTTCTCTGTCCTTTGTTAATACTTCATGAGGAGCTGATGGTTTGCTGCGGTTGTCGCCAAACACGAAGAGTGAGATCATAGGCGGAGCGTGTGTAAGGCTGGGGAAGGCTTAGCAATTAAATCTATTACGTCTGTTGCTAACAAATTGAATATGAATAGACAGTGTCGATTGCGCCATTAAATTAAGATCAACCTATTTCATTTTAGGCGTTTTTACAGTGTTGAGCATTTTAACCAATCACACACATATCTGTTGAGCTTATGAATGCAATGGCCAATCAGAAGCGTTCAGATGAGTCATCGTTCAGACTCATCAGTTTTGTTAAGTGCGTGCGCGTTGGCTGACTGAATTCTGGACTCTTGCGAATTCTCTCATCATAAACAACAAAGCGCAGATGTATGTACAATGTAAGTAAGAGATTCATTTAACAGTGTATACAGCTTCGGTGATTATAACGATAGTTTTGTTTTTTTGAGAGTGCTTAAACTCGCGATAAATCAATGTTAGTGATAAAATTCTATATATAATTTATTCGCTGTTTGAATAACCGTGGAAAGGAAACCGTATATAGGCAAATGATCAATTTCTACAATTTTTATTAAATTGTAATCACGTTAAATACAAATTCAGTCCCATTAAACTTTTTTTTTAGCCTACATGACACCCATGTCTGGTTCTTGCCTAAAAAGACGGGTTTATGATGTTTAATAGGCCTACATTTGGCTGCTTTTAACCTTACCCTGGAGTTGGTTCACCCTCCGCCTATGACTATAGCATTTTATTTTATGAAAATGAGATACAGAAGTTTTCGCACTGAAAGAGAAGTGATCTCGCGCTCAAAGAACTTAAAACATGCCAGACTATATCTGCAGCTTAGCTATATAAAAAGCAGAATGAACTGATGAAACGTTAAGACAAAAACACAATAAATAAATAAAATTTATGAACGATGCAGTGCTAATTGACATATCATTTATTACAGTACAGAAACTATAAAGTATATTTTTTACCTTATTCTGTGCAGAAAATTGAAAGGCCTAATTGTTTGTAGTATAATAAAACGATCATTAGGAAAAAATTATAGATTACAAATGATTGATTATTGTCCAGCAGTGTATTTCATTTCTTGTCGCAAATTCAAAGTAAGAGATAAGAAAATAATTCCTT